CCACCCGGGCTTTTGCGCTTCACAGAGACGCTTCGCTGCCTACGACTGAATGTCAGTTGAGAGTCAGTCTCATGCAGACTGACCAATGAAGAGAGGGCCTCAAGTTAAGACCCTCTCCTCATTGGTCTGTCCACACGAGGTGGGTCAAAGGTTACTCTGGGCGGGTTACGTGTTGTCAGGCATTCAAGTATTGAGTATATTTACTGCATATCACAGTAAAATATTCTGTATGTGACCACATTATGGTGATCCTTGGGTCGTGATGATGGAGCCCTTGAATATTGTTGCCCAGGGTACAACAAAGTGTTAATCTGGCCCTGGTTCCGCCGTCACATTCCCGCAGAAACTGGTTGATCACACCGGGCCAGACTACTAGCATGTGGTTTTACAACCACAATGTCCTCAGAAGCAAAAACGCTTTTAAAAGGGAGGGAGGAGTCCTAACTGTTGCTGCAGGCGTGTTGTGTGAGAGTGCAGTTATATACTGGTTAATATATTTTTGGGTTCAGTTGCTTTCATGTGGCCTAATGTGAGTCTATTTGGGATCATTGGAATGATCAGCAGCATTTCTTGATGTGACTTTATGGCAGTTGCCCAGGGCATCATCGCAAGGAGGATGGCATTCATTTACTTTTGTTTTATTTGGTATTTTTTCAGTCAGTTTTGGAAATAGTGATCAATTTTGATTAATTCACAGCCTATGTTTAATTACATTTAAAATAAATGTTAACAGATGAGATCAAACAAAACAGATGAGAATTGCCCTTAAGCTGTTTAACTTGGACCAAGCATTTTAGGTCACAGATAGATGTAGCTTAGGGTCTCTGTCTATACACCTTATAAGACAATTTAGGTGATGGCATGTTGTTTTTCTGCTATTGAAGTGTTTTCTAATAATGTTGTGTTAAATAAAGTGAAGGAAGGAGAGAAATAACGTTTCCCTAGCAGTTTTTAAAAATTTCCCCATGTAATCCGATTAATCGTGTCGAGACCCCATCCGATTAATCGATTATCCAAATAATCGTTTGTTGCAGCCCTAGCTCACATTATTATTGGTAATAACCGAGTTGTTGATTATGTATTTATCAAAAGAGAGTTCTTCGTCTTGAGCTGTAACAAAGGTGAAGCAGTTCAGATGAGCAGAGTGCATGAAAGACCTTGGCCACTATCTCATGTAGAATAGCCTGTCAGAGACTTTTTGTCTCAGCTCAAGCAGACACAGCAGATCATGACCTTTAGGTCAAAAACAGGACATTAATGGCGCTACATTCAGGGTCCGAAATTAACACTCGCCAAATGCGAGCAAATTGCTCCATTTGGCGAGTAAATTTTTGAGCTCTATCTGCCACCTGGCGAGTAAATGTTTGCACCAAATTAGTTATGTTTATCAGTCATCTTCCATGGATTTCTGATACTCCTCCCGCCTGCATGCAACGTACACAAACGTATGCGAAACGTGAACGCCGCATCCAACGTCATTTCCACCTATCCCATTCAATCCGTTTATCAAGTTAGCCGTTATCTTCGTGTTAAAACTAGCGGTGAAATGTGGCGGTTTTTAACTGGAGTCAGCCAGCCTTCCAAAAGAAAACTCGTCGAACTGGAAGAAAAACCACCAGGACCAGTGGCGAACTGGAGATGGCGGAGTCGTGAGACATTGGCTACATTATGATGGCCACGTAGCGTTGCTGCCTTTCACAGACACTTTTTCTGCTCGTGCTGCAAACAGGATAGCCATCTTCTATCAACGGTCTCTCGGCATTCTTCAAATATCCAAAAAATGCCCATACTTCCTTCTTTGAGGGTTAATAAATGTCCCGAGTGCTAAAGTGCGCTTGTGCCGCCGGCATCTTCAGCAGATGATACGGTGGCTGGTAAGGGTCACTGGGCCTACACCACAGCCACGGTAATCCACCGAGATAATTTTTTTTTTTAAACAAGACGGTTATTATTATTGTCAACTTTTTTACCGGGGTTTACTGCTACACCGGTTACCGTGACAACCCTAGCCCTGACACACTTTCAGATATTCTCATGGTGCAGCTGTGTTCTCCAGAGATCAAGGACTAGGACCCAAATGAGGCTGTAATGCTTTGGCACAAAGACGGTGTCAGAAGCAGGAGGCCAGACTTCATGGACAGAGAAAACAAGGAGTCTGACTAGATTTCAATGAAAGAGTTCATAAAAACATCTCTAAAAATAAATAAATAAATAGTAAAAATGACAAAAGAGTTGTTTTTCTTATTAATTGATTATTGTGTCACTCTGTTTGGAATCAACATAATATAGAATAACATGCTTTAGGTAGATCTAAATCATTTAGAATTTTGGCCGCTAGATTTTCATCATCTACCAGCCAACTTGGCCGGTGAGTAAAAAATGTAGTTTCGGACCCTGGCTACATTATTAACAGAGCAAAGAAGAACGAGGATAATTGGGCATCCTCTTATGCCCATTTTTTCATAACGTGGAGAGGGCGGTTCTTTCCTGAAATTCAGGAACATCCTCCGCTAAACCTTTAAACTGACTCGGCCATAAGAATGTTTTCAGGTAGGGTTGGTGTCAAGGACGCTCTTTACCTTCTGCATGGAGGGCTTTCTATGATGATAATAGTAAACTTTATTTGTATAGTGCCTTCAAACAAAGTACTGAACATTGAGGAAAACAAAGAATAAATACAGCAATTACAAATACATACATTGTATTATTTCTCTTACAATGCTTTGTGCATCACTCAACTTGTACAAACTGTTCAGCAAATTGTCAGTTGTAATTTTTCTGTACACATCCAGGGTTTCCCCCTGCGCTTTAGAAGCCTGGTGACCCGCCAGGCTGAGCGTCATGCCCCGCCCCCCTACCGTGCCCGCTGACACGAACGGCCTAACGAAACTAGAGCCCTCCATCAGCCGATACTGGTGAGAAACAGCAGCGGAACGTGTGCAACCCCCACTCTCACGGAGGAGCGCTGCGGGACAGAGCGCGCGACCCCCACCCCCCGCCTACGGCCGAATCCGCCTGGCTGAACTTATTTTCTGGGGGAAACCCTGCATATCCTAATATTCCTGGAGTGGCTTACGTCACCTCAGCCTGTACAAATCTATTGAAACTGATTCATTTTGTATCTGTTATGTTCAAAAATCTTTCTCTCATACGCACAACCTGCACAGAATGTTCCAGGGAGAAGTTTGAAACCATCCAAAACTCATCTTTCTGACGCACATCTCTCTCTGTACCAATAAACGCTGAACGGGGCTTCTCTTTGTAGTGTAAGTCTCAACTTTGTTTGAGCTGCAACCTTTTACAAATTGCATTTGATGATTATTGTCTTGCTTTCTATTCGACACAGGTTGTTGGGTTGAATCCATAACACATACCATAAGATAAAATGAGTGTACGCATTATATAAAAGGAGTAATAGAACAACACACAGTCACACATCCTAACAATGACTCTAATCCTAGTAGCATGCTGTAAAAAGTCGAGTCTTCAGTTTGGCCTTGAAAACCTCAATTGAGGAAGCCTGTCTGGAAATATTTCTAGAAACATTTTTCTGCAAATCTTTCACATCATATAATTTACTTATAATCAAGCTCCATCATACATCAGTGACCTGATTGTTCCATATGTTCCTAACCGAGCACTTCGCTCTCAGACTGCAGGTCTACTGGTGGTTCCCAGAATATCTAAAAATAGGGTCAGTAAAAGAATGTAACATTTTCCCATGCAGCTTCCAGTAATGGCTCTCCATGTTGCTGTAGTAACACTACCTTGGACATGTTGAGATCTGATATCAGATCTGTTCAAATTATTGTGTTTGTCCTTCATAAAACAAATCTTGCTGAAATTTTTGCAGTTTATTCAGTTTAATTAGGAAAAAAAAGTCTGTTTTTTAAAGGGACTTTACGGAGTTTTGAATTTTTATGCTCGCGATTGCGCCCTCTGGCCAAAAGCGTAACGGCCGCTTCAATAGGAGGCTCGTGCACGAGGCGCTCATGCTGTACGTGCACACTCCTTAACAAAAATATCAGTTGAAACAGTCCCTTGTGTGTGTGTGTGTGTGTGTGTGTGTGTGTGGCCCGGAGGACAGGAGAACGCGCAGCTAATTAATTAAATAATTTGGTTCTGTACCTTTCTCTTCAGCACAGCCGACAAAGGTTTATGATGGGTCAGTCCTCCTGCATGCTCAGATCATTCCCTTCCCTTGCTTGAAATTTTTTTCCAAAATGAAAGTTGAACCCACATCTTTTTTATCTGTGAATGCAATGCCGTTCGGCGAGTCTCAAATAAAAATTTGGGCATCTTACTGTAAAAAAAAATATATCATTAATGTAAAAAATAAACTCTAAAACAACCATGTTCACATCCAGAATCGATCCTGGGTCTTCTGCATGAAAGCCCGACGTCTTACTAGGCAACTAAACCACTTTCACAATCTTTAGTATCTGTAACATTTATATCTTGATGACAGCTGAAACAACGTTCAAAGAACGATTCGGAGGGCGATGCCTGAGCATGAACGCGCATGAAGCAGCCTGCTCGACCCGAGCATCTTTTTCTGTGATTTTACAGAAAAACAGGCAATCACAGTAAAAATGCCAGGGCTCATTCTACAGGACCAGGGCATTGCAGGAGAATGTATGAAGAAGACATTTATTATTTCTATACATGTTTTGGCTGTCACATTTCCATAATGCTCCTTAAAGTTTCTGATGTTTGAGTTGAATCATTTAGCCTCCACCAGGGGGAGCAAGAGAGCAGTGATGGATTTGGAAAGAAATCAAAATAAACATGAAAATATTGTTTTCTGAATTAAAGAATGAATGCACTTGAGTTCTGGAGGTCATCCATTTATTTTATCTTTTTTTTTATATAAAACATAGCATTAAAATGTAGTTTCAATTCATTCAGTCAGCTCAGACGCTGAACAGTGTCAACATTTTCAAAAGGGATATATTTCTTAATATCATTTTATGTGATGTTAACTATTCTTTCAACGGCAGTTAACGGAGTTGAACACATTCTTCCTGAAACATATCTTCGTTTTTCCTGCGAGTCAC